CCAACACTGATTGGACAAGGAACTCCTGAACAGCAAGAGAAGTGGCTGGGCAAAGCGGTCCTTGGAGAAATCATAGGAACTTACGCCCAAGTGAGAATGGGAAAATAGGGCTATTAAGAGTTAATGAGAATGAGCCCTAATTAGTTATGAAAATAAAATCAGGATAGAAGTTTGCACATATTCATTAATCAAAGAAACCAGCATGCTGAAACCAACAACCCTGAAGTAGGAGAGAAGAAAGATTATTTTTCACAAATAAAATCTGCATCATATTTGTAAAGGCATATATACATAGATATATAGAAATATGAATATGAATATGAATAGAATTATGTACATGAATGTGAATATATATATGTATATGTAAATATATGTAAATATATATATATATATATATATATATATATATATATATATATATATATATATATATATATGTATATATATGTATATATATGTATATATATGTATATATATGTATATATATATATATATATATATATATGTATATATATGTATATATATGTATATATATGTATATATATATATATATATATATATATATATATATATATATATATATATATATATATATATATATATATGTATTTAATATATGTATATATATATATGTATATATATGTATATATATATATGTATATATATATATATATATATATATATATATATATATATATATATGTATATATATGTATATATATGTATATATATGTATATATATATATGTATATATATATATATGTATATATATATGTATATATATATATATATATATATATATATATATATATATATATATATATATATATATACATATATATATACATATATATATACATATATATATATATACATATATATATATATACATATATATATATACATATATATATATATATATATATATATATATATATATATATATATATATATATATATATATATATATATATATATATATATATATACATATATATACATATATATACATATATATACATATATATATATATATATATATATATATATATATATATATATATATATATATATATATATATATATATATATATATATATACATATATACATACAAATATATAAACATAGATAGATTTGATTGTAGTTAAATGTCAGAGACAGGCAGTACTTGTAATTGGCACAATGATGACTCAGTACAAATATAGCCATGTATCTGTATCTATGTGTAAAAGCAATTGATAAAATAAACTCATAATGGGCATGGCATGTACATACATGCTATTCCCAGTGGCATTGGGTTAAAGGGTGCATGACATAAAGCTCTGGGTTAAAGGTTAATAAGTTTCCCTGTCCATTTCCAAATCTTTGGTAGCCAGCTATAATACAGTTATAACTGTAATACCCATATCCAATCACTTTACTGAATTTTATGATGTAACTGGACTCAAGAAATATGGGCCCTGAAGATGCAATGAGGTCCCTGCCACCCACTTAAAATTGAGATTGTATTTTGAAACTTTTACGATGATTCTCGTGTGATTTTATTTTTGTGATGATTATGCTTTTTGCCAAAGGTAAAAGCTTTCTGTCCATAAAATTGTCTTGGTGTGTATGATACTATTTTCTATTGATCAGATATTACTGCATCAAAATTTCTAGTATAAAGTTATTGTTTAAAGGACATTTTTTTTTTTCAGAGATTTTGATATTTTTACTTTTACTCCGAAAGACAGAGATGGGTCATGGCACCTTCCTGCGAGGCTTGGAGACAACTGCGACTTATGATCCATCGACTCAGGAGTTCATTCTTCACACTCCAACCATCACAGCTACGAAGTGGTGGCCAGGAGGATGTGAGTCATTTTCTGATATACTATTGTTTGTTATAGTTTGTTTTGGCTTTGTTATTAAGATTGTCAAATGTTTAAACACAAATGATTTTAAATCCCTTTATATGCGAATGCAACTGTGTTTGCACATACATATGCACATACAGATGCACATAAACATGCACATCACATACACTTTCACATGCAAATGCACTTATACATACACATGCACATACACATTGATATACACTTTCACGTTGACATGCACCTGCTCTTGCAGATGCAACATGGACATACACATACATGCACATATACATACATGCACATATACATGCACAGACACACATGTGCACACATACTCACCCATGTGCATACATACTCACATATGTGCACACATAATCACACTCATGCACATGTAACTGCACATGTGCACACTTACTAACACATGTTCACACATACTGACACATGTGCACATGTACTGATACACATGCACAAACATGCATGAACACACACACACACACACACACACACACACACACACACACACACACACACACACACACACACACACACACACTCACACACACACACACACACACACACACACACACACACACACACACACACACACACACACACACACACACACACACACACATACACACACACACACACACACACACACACACACACACACACACACACACACACACACACACACACACACACACACACACACACACACACACACACACATACACACACACTCACACTCACACAATTTTTTTTTTGTTTTGTTTTCACTGATTTATTTATTCATTCTCTTCCAGTGGGTAAAACAGCAAATTACGCAGTTGTCATGGCTCAGTTGTATACAAAAAGACAGTGTTATGGACCCCATCCCTTCCTTGTGCAGTTAAGAGATGAAAGAACGCATCAGTCTCTCCCAGGTACTGTGGAATTGCATGCTACATTTCTGTGTGTGTGTGTGTGTGTGTGTGTGTGTGTGTGTGTGTGTGTGTGTGTGTGTGTGTGTGTGTGTGTGTGTGTGTGTGTGTGTGTGTGTGTGTGTGTTATACTTAAAATGATAAACAAAAGTAAGAGGGGCGAGCAATAGAAAATTATTTTTTGAAATGGATCCCACTTAGGCATATAGACACCTGGCATTAACAGGTTGATAATCCGTGGTATTTTTACTATTTATCCATTGATGATTATTATTGTTTCTTCAACAGGTCTGACTGTTGGAGAGATTGGGCCTAGACTTGGTATGAACACGTCTGATAATGGCTTCCTTAGGTTTGACCATTTCCGCATTCCACGCACAAACATGCTAATGAAGCATTCACAAGTCTTGGAGGTTAGTGAGAGAGTGTATATAACTATTTGAATTGTAGACATTAGTGAGGGAATGTACAGAGTATATTGCAGAATTAAGTGTAGATTCGAGTCATTCAACTTTTTTCTTATTTAAGTCAGCTTTCCAGCTTCTCATATAAATGCATTTCTGTTGAAGCAAATACAAGAATTAAAAAAACAACAACTCAAAATCACTGGCTTTAAAAGTTGTTAGAATCTATTTAGGCATAGAAGTGACTGCTATTAAATATGATTACAAAAATATATTGAATTTAGAATCTGTAATAAGTTTTTATCCTGTTACGATTGCCTGAATTTGTTACTAAATCAGCTGCATGTACAACAGCTTTTACAGGAGGGAAAAATGATGATATGCAGTATAGTTCATATGGATATAGGTTATTGAAGTGCAGAGTGCCTATCCTGGAGTTTTCAATATGAAAACTATTTCTGTACTTTGACCACTTCTAAATTTCTTCAAAGTAAAGAATTCTCCCAAGTTTTTCACCAATTAATTCATAAAATACTGGAGCATGCCACATATGCTGTAATCATATGCTGCCAAAATATTCTGTAAACATTTAATTAATTTAATTCATTTTAGGACGGAACGTATGTGAAGCCTTTGAGTAGTAAATTAGCGTATGGCACAATGGTGTATGTGAGGGTTGGCATATGCTTCTACTCATGCCACTTGCTTCAGAAAGCTGTAACAATTGCCACGCGATATTCTGCTGTGCGCCATCAGTCAGAAATGCTACCTGGGTATTGTCTCTTCTTGTCTCTTTTTAGCTTTGATATCAGATTGCATTGTGAATATAGATGAGTAGTTAATGAACTGAGTTTTTTTATGGTATGTTTTCCAAAGAATGTTATTCAGTGTGTTTATGTAGTTTCTATATTTTGCAAACAGAATGCCAGAACCACAGATTCTAGACTATCAAACCCAACAGTATAAAGTCCTGCCACAAATTGCGACGGTGTTTGCCTTGCTGTTCTCTGCTCGCAGTGTTGGTGACACATTCATTGAGGCCACGAAGAGCATGAACGAAGGCAGCTTGGCCCTGTTACCTGAAGTAGGTTGAATGAATTGCAAATTCCTCTGTGAATGATGAATCTTGAATCACATTGAAAGATATTTGGAATCTGGGATTATATAATGCAAGTGGATTACAGTTTGCATTCTAGCCACATTTTTAATGAAAATAAGCTTTTATAGGTATTCCAATATGTTACGGAATTATCTCCTCTCACTCTGTAGTATTAATACCATTAATATAATGAATAACAAATAATTTCAGCTGCATGCACTCTCATGTGGCCTGAAAGCCCTTAGTTCTACGGATTCCACATCAGGCATTGACATTTGTCGTCTGTCATGTGGTGGGCATGGGTATTTGGCTTCTTCAAGTTTCCCACGACTGTACACCCTCTGTACTGCTACTATGACCTATGAGGGTGAAAATACTGTCTTATGGCTTCAGGTGGCTAGGTAAGTAAATTAGTATTGCAGATAATTGTTGTAGTAAAAGTTCATGTTTGTAATATTTGGTATACTTATATTTTTGTTATCCTCTAATGTTTCATCATTTCCAGTACTTGTTATAGTTGTGCTAAAATACTGTGAAACTTACTGAAATTACTACGCCTTCAGACTGTGAAATTGTGAATTACAGGTACATCATCAAGTCTTATCAGGCGGCTAAGCGTGGAGATGTTGTTGGTCCTTCAGTGGCTTACTTAGTTGATAAAAACACAACAGATGTAAAAACTGATCTCTCTAATGCTGGTAAGAAATATTGACTGATGGGTGGCTAATTCACCACTTTCTTTTTGCCTTCTTTATCATCTCTTTCAGTTTTACTTGTAAGGCTTGGCTCTGCAGTTTGGACTAGCACTCATTTATGATTGAAAATTCAACCTGATATACATTTTTATTATTATTATACAAATAAGACAATTATTATAAAGTAGTAAACATGATGCATTTCTTATCAATAGGCCTTTTAGAAGCATGTAGAAAGTCGGTATGTGCAATTGTGGCAGAAGTGGAATCAAGATTGCAGCATTTGTGCAGTAAAGGACAAGATTTTCATCATGCTTGGAATAACATGTCTGTCTTCCTTGTAAAGTGTGCTCAGGTCAGTGTTAAAGTTACCTGTAGAAGGGAATATAATTGTCCATTTCATTTCCATTAGTTGCAAATGCATGTTGTGAGGATTCTAAAGAGTCAGAATCAAATAAAATCATATTATAAAGTGATTGCTGGATATATAGTCCTTTATTTGGTAAAGTTAGAGAGATACTGTTAAATATCCGTATATCATAAATACAAATTCTGTTTGCCATTCTTGATGAGCACTGTTTATTCTCTGATCATCATAATTATACTCTGATTCATTTGGTAAAGGTATTTGTCCTTGCCTTTTAGGTGCATACACGGTACTATGTGTGTGAGCAGTATGTGCAGACCATTGAGAACCTCAAGCTGAGTGATGGATTAAGGGCAGTCTTGAGGAACCTGTGCCGGTTGTATGTAGTAAATCACATCATAGTCCACCAGGGTGACTTCCTTAGGGTAAGTCTTTAGTCTGCTATTCTTAGTTTATCACGTATTCTCTATTCTTATTCTATTTTTTAAGTAATACTGGTATTAGTTCTTCTTTGTAGTAAGTCTGCAGATTTTGTTTTTTGTCTTTTTAGGCTCAAGTAAGATTTAATGCAAGTCTTAGTTACTAATATTTTTAGGGTGCTTCATAACTCTTTCTAGATTGTTATTAACACTCTATTGACAGTTGAGTTTTGGTCCAAACTATGGCTATCAGTGGGGTGTTGACAGTTTGTGGTTTTGATTATGTTCATTATGACACATGTTGATCTACAGACTTCTAAAGTTGGTCAAGACTTACTTTTTTGTTTTTTTGTGAATAAAGACTGCAGGAACATAGTTATAAAACAGACAAGGATTGGAAATATTCAAGCGGCATACCAATATTGAGTTAATACTCCAGTGGCAACTTCCTTAGAGTAAATAATTTTAACCATAGTTTTTAATAACCCATAAAAGGGACTTCCTAGGGTCAGATTTGAAGATATTACAAAATTTGTTTCTCATCCTTACTCTATTGATGTTCTAAATTGCCAGTCACTCATAGAGAAGATAAATTTTAAGAGATTCCAGGTATTCTTGGATTAGCATATTATGCCAATCGATAAGATGACAATTTTCAGTCTTGAATAATTATTGAAATAGACATTAGCCAAGACTCAGCCAGGTGCCAGAATAAGGCCTAGAAATCAAGGGAATTCTAAAAAGGATAGTGAAAGGAGATGTAGTCTTCAATGTACTTTCTATGTAAAGTAGATTGTCATTTTTTTTGTTTGTTTTGCTGGCTGTAGTACAATCCATTTTTAAACAATGATTAATTGCTTTACCTTATCCTTTTTATCCAGTAGCAGAACACGTCTAAATTTCTTTAATCATGCCAAGGATTTTTTTTTTTTTCTTTTTACTTCTGTTCATATATAGTTATTAAAACTTACCAGACATATAGTTGGTTCTAAAAACTCTTTAGGTTTCACCTCAGCATTGCCAAACATGCGTTATCTTTCCTAAAAATCTCTTTATCATTCACCACTGTTAATATCCTTGCAGTGTGGTGCTTTATCCGCAAGTGATATGAATGCATTGGAGGAAGAGATGAGTGATCTTCTGGCAGCTCTAAGACCCCAGGCAGTCTCCATTGTTGATGCCTTTGACCTGGACGACTTCATTCTCGATTCCGTTCTTGGCAGCAAGGATGGAAATGTGTATCAGAGGTATGGGTGTTGAAGGTCTAATAGTTTTGCTATTGGACATGGCTCTTAGGTTATTTTTTTTGTTTATATATATGGTGTTATTTGATAAGACTGAATAGGTATTTATATCTTTACTGTATTTAATCTGTAATGAAATCTCTATTTTGAAATTCCTGTATAATATTTTTGCTCATACCACACTGCAGACTTCCATGAGGCATTTGCTTCATTAGCTTTAAGTTATCATTGGTTAGTAATAAATGAAAAGGAAAACTCTAGTGAATAAATCAAAATATTCACCCAAATATAATCTGTAACATGGTACTTACATTTAAGTATTAATACTTATTCACATCAAACAGCAAGTTATATTCAAAGGCTTTTTGGTTTTAGACATTTTTAATTTAGACTTTTTTTTTCTATCAAGGAGTGCTGCTATCCTCAGTTTGTTCGTATTTCTTGTCCTCTTCCATCATTCTTGTATTTACTTTGTTTTTTCTTTAGGAAGGAGA